TTATTTTCTCCATTTTTCTTACTTTTGTTTTTATGCTTCTTTCTTCAAGTTATGAAGAGTGTTATTGAACCATATTTTTCAACCTCATACTACTTTATCTTGATAAATTGTAGTTTTTAAGTTTTTAAATCAAGTTTTTACTTTTTCCTTTTCATCATTCTCACCATCTCAACCAACATTCCTTTTTTATTTTTTAATTTTATCATTTTCTACAGTATTTCCCACAAATGCTACTTTCATTCTTTTTTATGATACCAAAATTGGGCTTGACATTTTTTTTCAATATTTTACCCATCTTAATAATCAGTATATACAACTAAAGATTCATTATCATCTATATATTACAACTGCAATAAATTAACACAACAATTTCAACTTAGCAACAAGCTAAAATTTCTAATATTTGGTTAGGCCTTGTGTATGGAGGCATCCAAGCCCTTTTTATAGAGTGGCTTCTATCTTATTCTACCTCTTTGAATAAGTAGTAGTTTTGATATAGATAATTTATCAGTATTAATAATCTACCACCTTTACTTCAATAATGTTTGAGATTATGTACTTTATTGTTTACATGGACTCTTCATAGGTTCTAACCGTTTACTGAGCAATAGTTTTCCTTTCACTTTCTATTCATCCACTCACTTTCTCAAGTAACATATCCCCTCTTTTGTTTTCTTTCATTTATATTGCAAATATGACTATGGTATTGAAATTATTTATCAATGAATTCTTTTGAATATTCTTTTCTTATTGCCACGACAAAAGATTAGTATTGTTGGACCTTTTATTAATCTCCACCCAAATTAGTTGAGAAATTAATTTTCACATGTGCACTTGGCCAAAGGAGCATAAAGATAGAATTCTTAAATGCTATTAATCAAATATACTTGTTCATTGGCTTACATTTATTAGTGTTAGGAACCCCTACAATATTAATCTTAGACCCTTAATACTTGTTAAGTGATAGTTTACCATGTCTATCAAGACACTCTCACTATTATGCTCTATGTATTAGTTCTGTTTGATCTTATTAGCTATTTGTGGAAAGTGTTAAGATTTTTTGTTGAGGCAGAATGTAGAGATTGTCTTAATTACAATAATATTGTTCCTGTGTCCAAATTTGCAATCTAATGTCATTATGTAAGTTTTCATGATTATTTTAGACACTAACTCCTAGGGTGAAAGCCCAAAGCATGCATTCCTTTTTACTTGCATACCTATCCTTATCTAGCTTCTAATTTGAGTCTAAGTTTAAAATTCATATCATGCTAGTTAATGGAGCATTTATATCCTTGCATTAAGCTATCAATATGCTAAAATTGCACCAAGCTTTATTTTACGTGTTGATCCTAACTTTGGGATGTTAAATACTCTAAAACTATTTTTATATCACTCTCTATTTTTGTCCCTTTGTGTACGCTCATGAGTTATTCCATATTTTGGTTGTTTTCTTCTTAAGTTATATGTTTAAGAGTTGTCCTATATTCTACTTCCTTTGTTTTTTAACTATATATTTAGGAATTTAGCTCCATCCCTTTATTTAATGGCTCAAAACCTTGATCTGCTCCATTACCCTTTGCCACATATATAAGGGTTTACATTCCACTCTGGGGTTATCCTTGAAAACCACATACACTATAATTTAACTTTGAGATAATCTTGGGAGCTAAAGATGTTTACAATGCAATAATATATGCTCCTAAGCTCAATAAGCATGGCTATGATTCTAGGGATATTCCTAAATATACTTAATGTGTTTAGGGCATATTCATTTTAGGAGGTCCTGCAATAGGTCAACTCAAATCACTTTGCCAACTTGAAGTCAAGCAATGATCTAGTGTCCATACGACTACACCTTTACCTCCCCACACTCAACTTTCACACACCCTCCTGGGAGATCCTGTGACATCTGCAGATGCTGCAAAGTACCTCAAAGCATGGGACACCATAATCGACACAATCAACTTGGCATTTAGAGAGATGTAGTATGTGTGAATGAAAAACTTAGTATGGTCCCATGCCTACCTGGGTGGTGCAGTGACTATAGGGCACCATCGTCAAGTTCAGTCAGTTCGCTCGAGACAAATTGCTTGACTACTACTTACCAGCAACTTCAATCACACTTTGTGCCAAGAAAAAAGTTTAAATACTTAGAAGCTACAAACTCCTTGTTCATAGTAGCTTTTAGTCAACACTTTGCACTGTTCTTCTTTGTTGTTTCCATTTCGCTGCCGGGTCCAAAAAGCTATCTATCAATGACTAAATGTTAGTAGACGTTTACACGCAATCTAAGATCACCTTGGAGGCTATAAATTCAAAGGTAAAAAAAAAAAATTCACGCTCCTCACAAGCTCAAGAGCTTCCACGACTGTTCTCGCGTGAAAAAAGGTTAATATCGCATATAAGTACTGCTCCAACCTCTTTACTTCAATCATCGCTAGTTCTTTCTTGATCTTTTTCACAAGTTCGTTCTTACGAACACTCTACTCTCCAAAGCAATGAAGATAGTGGTCTCAAAACCCATGAATTCGCTGGCACTGCTGCTGATGACTATGGTGATTGTCTCTCTTTCACTCTTTACAGGTGTCGATGCCGCGGACCCCGATCCACTGCAAGACTTTTGTGTCGCCGACCTCTCCAAGGATCTCACCATGAATGGCTTCCCTTGCAAAAGAGCCTCCAACACCACCACCGAGGACTTCATCTATGGCGCCCTCAAGCGTTCAGCCAACACGAGCAATCCACTCGGTGCTGCAGCGGTGCCTGGATCTGTCTTAGAGTACCCGGGCCTAAACTCGCTGGGCCTCTCCATCTCGAGGCTCGACTTCGCGAAGGGCGGTTTGATCCCTCCTCACACCCATCCCCGCGCGTCCGAGATGATCTACGTCGTGAAGGGGAGCATGTACGCCGGGTTTGTCACCACGGACAACAAGCTCTTCGCTCGAGTCATCTCCAAAGGCGACGTGATGATCTTCCCCCGGGGTTTGATCCACTGGCAGCTCAACGTTGGAAACACCAGCGCAGTGGGGATTGTCACGCTCAACTCGCAGTTCCCTGGCTTCCAGATGATCGCCAACTCCTTGTTTGGATCCAAAATCCTGGACGAGGTGTTGATGAAGGCCTTCTTCATTGACGAGAAAGCCGTGCAGCAGCTCAAGTCAATCTTCACTCCGTCTAGATAGGTGAAAAAAAAACGACAATGTTCAAACTTTGTCATAAACCAGATTTCCGCCAGTGTCTTGTGCTGGAGAATGCTCAAGAGCTCATTTGGTCCTCCATTCTCTTGGAAACTTTCGTTTTCTTCACGATCAAAGCAGTACCATGGCGCTTGCCAGCCTTCGTCCTCGAGCACCTTGCTAGGCTCGCTCGAAAGTCATGGGGAAGAGCTTAATTCTTAGTTCTTAGAGCGAAAAGGAAGAGACTATACCTGTGTAGAAGATCCGATACACAGGCCTCTTCGTCTCCACATCCTCGTGAAACCATCGGCCTTGGACCAGATTTCACAAGTGAATCCTCCAGTGCAGGTTGAATTGCTCACCACAAAATTCCCCACCTGCAGCTGCCCGCGTCGAGCGTAGAAGGATGTGTCGTTTGTCCACTCGAGATCATAGAGCGTGGATCCCAGCTCCTGCCATTTGGAGCTTGCCGCTCACATTTTGGAGCAGCGCGTGGAGTTTCTCCGGCCACGGCGTTGCCGGCGCCGCAGAAGGCGAGAAGAATTGTTGTGAGCCGCAATATCCCCAAACCTGCTAAAATTTATGGTTCTTCAAGGAATGAGGAGCTTTACACTCTCCCCACTGCTACATAGCGCTGTCCAGAGCCCACGCGGTTTCTCGCCAACATGCTAATCCGCATGTACTGTAACAGCGGCAGCATTGAGCCAGAACTTTTTCTCACGGCAATGCGCATTGGATGATACTGAGCAAGAAAAACTGTTTTGATGCGATATTTCAGCGGATGTTTGGAACGCAATCCGAAACTGGGCATACAAAGAGGCGCAAAAGCTCTTTCAATGGTCTCGAGGGAGTCCTAGAAGAGGTCTTCTCGGCCATGCCCGTCATCCTTTCTCACGGAGAAAATCGATTTCTAATAGAGGCATGAGATGGAGATGGCGTGCCCGACACCATTGTCGCGAGATCAGCGTCATCTTTCATCGTCATCGAGAAAGACGGACGTGTCTCCCAGCGTGACGTGTCAAATTTCTGTCACAGTTGAGGCCTGCATTAAATTCAGGTGATGGACTTGTGTGAAGCAGCATGCTCAAACCTTTCAAGAATGTTCATGAACCGGATCACTTCTTTGTGAGATATATAACCAGTTTGGACTTAGCCGCTTCGGAAAGAGGTTTTCAGCGAGTAGGTGCAGCTTTTTGAAATCAGGATAGTGATGCTGTAACAATGAGAGACGTAGGCTATCTCACTCCAGTCAACAAAGATGTGCAGGTCAGCTTGAAAGTTTACAATAGCAAGGTTTATGTTACATGGTACAAGCTCATTGAGTGGTGCTGGTACGATGAGAATGAGGAAAAGTACTCCAAATTTGTCAACATGACGCATTTCCAGCTAGTTCAATAAAGTTCGCTTAAACACATGAGTTCGAAATCAACCTTCATTTTTCTCTATTTCCTAGAAAACAACACATATTCCAATTCTTTCCTTTGGCTAAAGTTCCTCAAAGCGAAGATCGTGAAGAGGGAGCTTGAAGATAGCTTGAAGATTGTATGAAGCATGGAGAGCGAGCATCCTTGCTTTATGCATCCATCAGTCTCATGCTTCACGTGCGAGGCTATATATTTCTCGGCTTGCGAGCAGCAGCAATGCTCACATGGGCGAGAGCCCATGTCTGTTCAAATTGCGTTTCTCAAGGCAGCAACAGGATTTGATTTTTTTCGGCCAAAATTCAATTAGACAATTACTAGAATAGGGCCAGGGCAGGTTCTGATGAGACGGGATGCTTATCTGAGCGTTGTGAAGAGGGCCCCTATTTTGGCATCACTTACGCCGACCTCCGCTCTGGCGTGTATAGCTTGGATGAGAAAACGCACCGAGATCTCGTGAAAGCAGTACGCGCTAAAGTCAAGCGGCAGATAAAAATGCCCAAGTTCAGGAGGCGGAGCTCATCCGGAGATCATCGTGGAAACCCAAGTTCACACCGTCCAATGTGGTTTGCAAATGCACTCCAGGTGCTAGAGAATTTAAGGAGCGAATGGCATGTTGGGCGGAGCAGGATTTGTTCAGATGCGCAAGCGACATTGATAGGACGAGGGAAGTGGTGCTGCGGTTTGAAGCCCGGATTGTTGAAGAGCTCGAGGACGACTTGCTGTGCAGCAAGCTGCTGCAGGAGAGGCCAGGCGAAATGGATTCCCGACGTGTATAACCAACTGGTGGAGTGGATCGAGGGTGCACCATCGCGAGATTGAGATTAAAGATTACAAGGTTTGGGAACCGGATTGCTGCGTGAATCTCTTCAGGTTTGAGGTGGTGTACATTGAGCAGCTGCTGCGGGATTACAAGGCGCAGGAGGGAGCAGCGCAGGAGATCGTGGCGAGGAGGTGTGAGCCCATTGATTTTGAGGAAGAGAGAGGGATGTTTAGACACATGAGGAGTAGCCGCCGCCAGGTATATGCTCTACCGGATCAGTTTCGGTAGAGAGAGATGATCGATGATTCATAATACAGAGATTTATAAGATGTTGAGCGCATTTGTGGTCAAGAGCAGTTTCGAGCACACGCCATGGAGCTATAAAAATTCTCGCCTTGAGGTAAAGAAGTACACAAGTAGTGTGTTCCCTCCATGCTTGGGGGGGACTGTCATTTGCAATAATCTTCTAGGTGTTTGTGGTAGCGACGTTACTAGATGAATTGAGCTTGGATTCTGACTTCAAGAATTCATTATTAATGAGGTGCATGATCACTACGTCCCGGCCGTCGGAAGCAATGACCAATCTCCATTTGAGAAATGCGCCTATACCTGCTGCAGATCATGGCTCAATGGAGCTGGAGCCCGAAGCTCTACAAAGATGCCCTGTCAAGTGGGATCTCGCAAAGGCGCAGAGTCTCCTCCAGGCGATCATCCAAGATCCAAGTCACAGGTAACTTGAAACACTCGCGAGCTCTTATGGTGAATTTGTTTGTTTCTTTGGCAGAAAGTCCGATGCAATGTGAGTGAAAAAAAAGCTTGCCTTTGATCATGTTTTCTGGTGCAGGTTTTTAACTTAATAGAAACTTGGTCGACACATAGCCAGAGGAAGGCCTTTGGCGATCGAAGGATGTCGTCCTTTGGAATCGTGAACACTCACCTGCTCACTTGGAAAGCTTAATATCACACGCAAAGCGTTTGAGCACAGTCCACGACATTGTAAGAATTTGCTCTCCATATCTCCATTCCTTGCGTGGAAAATAGTACCAACAGTTTTCTTCGTATCAGAGAGTTCCATGGAGAAACTTGTCGAATTTTTTATCTCCATTGGAGAGGAGACGGGCCGCATCAATGTCTGCTTAAGTTCCATCCTTCGCTCATATCAAGAGAGTTATTGAAGAGAAGCACCATGGCACTGGCATTGCGGAGTTTGGAATGGACGCATACCAACCTTTCGTTTCAACGAAAGAGGAAGCTCGACGTTGTCCCGGATACATCCAAGAGGAAGAAAAGGAAGCGATATTCGGTCCAGCTAACGCTAGCCTTCTTGGCTTCTCCTTGTCAAGGCTACACTACAAGCAGCTCAAAGAGAAGAACGAATGCGAAATCCTTTTCACTCAAGACGAGGGCTCACGCGTCAAACTGGGACGAGGAGGCAGAACTCTCTCCACTGCTCAGCTAGACCTTGCACCGGGAAGAGAATGCGAGAGAATTAGCAAGATGTGAAGTATATACACTCTCTATGACATGATCCTAGGTGGTAGTAGCGCCACCTCACTACTATCTATATATTTGGATGGCTTATCTTCTCCGCACCAGAGACAGTGTCGCAGTTACCACAGGTCAACTGTCAGATGAAGAGATATGCGAAAGCTACAATGGATGGATGACTAAAGAATTCGACTATATCCACTCGGCTACTCAAAGGTGAGGAGGCGGCCGCGGAGAGGTGACGAAAGACTACGAGAACAACAGTGGACTATATCACGTTGGACACGGTATTCTCAAGTGGGTTTCCAGCAGGCTAGCACGAGCTTCTTCTCGAGCTGGATAAGTATACCAGGCACTGGGAATGGCAGGAGTTCAAGGTCCAATCTCTTCCTGGTCGAGTTATACTTGGATGCTGCCTCTTCTTCTTCCGAGCCAGGCAAGCTCCTCGACACTGCAACTACAACATATGCCGGGTTATCGAGTGGTCGGCTCTGGAAGTTGATTGGGACCAGGAAAATAATGCTCTAAGAAGCAGCAGCATCAGAAGGAATGCCGGGTGGCTTTTCTGGCTCGGTTTCATTGGATTTACCGGCGCACTCAAAAGAAAGGATTTAGCATCAAGATGGACAAAAGGATATCGTTGGAAATGGGCAAGTGAACCGATGCTGTGCAATCGCACGAGTTCAAAAAGCGCTCGGGATGCTTATATATGTGTGTCAACGAGCTGCCAACTTTGCCATCTTGCGCTGGAGTTTTCCTGACACCCGACGACAATCCTTCGCTATCACCAAGGAACTGAGAACTTGGAGCGCCGAGGAAAGTCAGGAGCTTTCAGGGTGTGCCGCTGCAGAAGACGTCAAGCGGGACGTCAAGCGGCTGATGTAAATGCCCAAGTTTGGCCGAGCTCGTCCGTGGAAAGTTGGAGCGTATGGAGCAGGATTTGTTTGGATGCGCAAGAGATGAATCACATCGGGAAAGGGAAGTGATGCTGCGGTTTGAAGCCACTGTAATAGTCCTGCTGCTGCTGCTACTGCTGCTACTGCTCTGATGTTTGCACGGGAGTGTCCGGCTGGGAAGCTTCGTGCACCATGTGCATGCTGCGGGAGAGGCCATGGGAAATGGATTTCTCAGCGGACAGCTGCTACGAGCGCGACGTGTATAACCAGCTGGTGGAGTGGATCAAGGAATACAATCGCGGGAGTGTGGAGGATATACAAGGTTTCATGGAAACCGTGGAGCAGCGCAGAAGATCGTGGTGAGGAGGTGCGAGCCCAGGCGATTCGAGGATGTGTCGCCGATGGACTTATGTTGATAGGCAGCGCAGTTGTGATGAACTTGGCATTCAAGCTCCCTCCCATGTCTATTGCAAACTTGTCCACGTGGAGAGGTCTAGCGGTTATGGTTAGTTTCAAGCGTTAGATATATTATAGTAAGGAGCACCGGAACAAAAAGAAAAGGAAAAAGAGTGCTCCCTGCACACACCAATCGTGCTAGATCCGTTCCACTTCTGCCACGCTCATGCCTCCTTAGAGTTTCCAGCGCTGAGGACTTCCACGCGCGGCTACCCCTCATCTAGATATCGAGCTCGAGGAGGTGAAGATGCCACGAACACCGTACTTTCGAAGCTCGAATCTTTAAGCGCGACACAGCTACCTCTGGAGGACGCCAAAAGATGTTTCCAAGTCTCAAGGACTGCCTTGAACAGAGAGCCCGATCACTCCAGTCCTGACCAACGCATTTCCAGGCAAGGCCCCTTCGACACTAGCAAGTCCCTCCGGAGTGACCGCGCGGAGTGAAGCTCTCCTGGCCACTTCACCAGCCCAGCTTTCGTAACCGAAAAATTAGTATCTTTCAGGACATGCTCCGGTCAGAAACGCGAGCTTGTTGATGCCGACCGAGTGCCGTGCCGGGGAACTGGAGAGGTACAGTGAGACCCCTGTGGCCCAAAGCTAGACTTGATAATAACCACGCATGGACCTGAGCTGGTGTGACCGCTGCCTGTTTTGCAAAAACTTACAACGTAGGCCAGAGGCACTGACACCATTCATAGCATTCGGGGATGTCGGTTACTAGGTTAAAATCCTACTACAACGTTGTCGCATCGTAAAAAACTGGACATTCACAAGCCCCAGGTCCTAGCATATGACACCGTCATCTCTCAGCTTTGCAAGGACACTCTTGACAGAGTTCATGAATGGCCGGCACTCTTCAGGCACGTCACCACAGCTGCTCCGCCTCTGCTATGGCATGGATTGCCAGTGTCTTTACGTATCTGCTTGGCTTTTTCCTTGTCCCATCAGTAAGCCCCACAGTGAGCTCCAGCAATTCAAATTGCTTTGAGCGTCTTCAGAGACTTCTCCTTTAGCCGCATATCCTCACCAAACACACAGAATGAGCCCTTGATGTACAAAGCCTCGAGAAGCTCACGCGCAGCTCGCCCTTCCATTGGAACGCCCTGAGTGGCTGGTTTCTTTGCAGCTCCCGTAGCTTCCATTGGAACACACTGAGTGACTGCAACGCCCTGAGTGGCTGGTTCCTTTGCAGCTCCCGTAGCTTCCATTGGGACACCCTGAGTGACTGCAACGCCCTGAGCGACTGGTTCCTTCGCAGCTCGCGTAGCTGCCACTGGAACGCCCTCAGTGGCTGGTTCCTTCGCAGCGCGCGTAGCTTCCACTGGAACGCCCTCAGTGGCTGGTTCCTTCGCAGTTCGCGTAGCTTCCACTGGAACGACTGAAACGCCTTGAGTGACTGGAACGCCCCGAGTCTTCGACAGATGAAGGCCGTGGTAAGAGTCTTTGAGGCGCTTGAGTTCTTTCTTGCCTGCCAGATGGATGAGGCTTTCTTCAGTCAGTGAAGATTCTTCTAGCATGGACCGAATTAGCTTGAAAAGCTGGGCATCGCCATAAGTCAAGAGGGAAGTGAACACAAGAAGCATAGAAACTGTTTTGTATTTCCCCAATGCCAAAAAAAGAAGCTGCCTTCCATTTTCCTCATGGCAAAACACTTGAAGAAGTTCCCATGCTGCTCTTGCCTTTCTGGTACAGAGCAACAGCATCAAAGATGGATGCTGGAGAAGGAGGAAGCGGAGCAAGCTGATGCCTCACAGCCAGGATCTGTTCTTCAATCTCTAGCACTTTCCAGTAATGCCCCTTCTGGGCATATGCGTCAGCAAGGAGCTTCCAGCTCAGGAAGTTCCTAGCTGGACACTGGAGAAATGCCTCTCGAGCGCAATCGACTCGGCCAAGCATGCCGTAGTCTCTGATGACGCAGTTCCACACCCACGTCTTCTCGTCTTCCATTCGCTTCTTTGAAATCTCTTCGCCAGCAGTTGCCGCCGTGGGCAAGTGCGTGCCCATGGGCAGGTGAGCTCGGGAAGAAAAGAGCCTTGGCGGAGACTCTCGGCGCTGCTGCTTCCGCCTGAAATGCGATACATTTCTTTCCCCTTGGTCTCGATTAGGGTTTTTTGGAGCTCCCGGCGATTGTAAGTAGAGCGATCTCTTCTTCGATTCTCTGCGTGACGCCAGTATGCGATCTCACCTATCAACGAGAGTAGAAGCCGACTGGAGCCTTCGGCCCTCACAAACGAAGCGCAGGTTAGAAACTGCTTACAGGAGTCTCATCTCCCGAAGCTCTACCAAGATGCTGCAAAGAAGGCGATCACCCAAGATCCTTTGTGGATCAAATCACAGGTGACTTCAAACACTTGGTGAAAGCTTTGCTTTCGAAATGGGTTCTTACTTGCGATGGCCTTTTTCTGGTTCTTCTATGTGTTTTCTCCAACTAGCGAGGAAAATCCGATGCAATGCTCCACTTGTGGAGAAACTTGTCGAAGTTTTAATCGCCAGACACAGTCGTGAAACGCTTCCATCCTTCGCACCCTCGCGCGCTTCATACCAAGAGAGTTATTGAAGGAAAGCACTATGGCACCGGACCTTTCGTTTCAACGGAAGAGGAAGCTCGACGTTGTCCCGGATACATCCAAGAGGAAAAGAGGAAGCAGTACTTGAAGTTAACGCTACAGGAGCCGTCTTGGCTTTTGCTTATCAAGGCTACTCTGTAGTCAGTGCAAAACAGGCAGCAAGGGAAGGTTTTGAAGAGCGAGGAGCTCAAAGAGAAGAACGGCTGCTATCTTGCCAATTCTCGCGTTCTCTTCTCGGTGCAAGGTCCCGATGGAGCAGCGGCGAGACTTCTGCCAAGCTGACAGATGATCTTCTTCTCAACAATGGTGGCTGCGACACCGTCTCTCTTGCCGAGAAGATCAAGCTCTCAGAAGTCGAAGACAGCCATGCACAAGAACGTCGAAGCACTCGGCTACGGAGCCTGATCAAAGGCGAGGAGGCGGTGGCCGATTGTCCCAGGAGCTTGACACAACGTTTCATCATCGACAGCTCGCGTTTAGAGGTCGAAGTCGGTCCCGAGGCTTCAGGTATCGCGCACTGCGAACGGCTCCTTGGCATATCCGGCTTCTGAGAGCTCGGCCTCTTGCCCCGCTAAGCTAGTGAGGTGACGCATTTTATGCAAGACAGTGGACTATATCACGTTGGACACGGTATTCTCGAGCGGGTGGTATAGACTGGAAGGAGCAAAGCGAGCTTCTTCTCGAGCTGGAAAAGTACCAGGCACTGGGGTTTTTCCTGGCCGAATTATACTTGGATGCTGCGCCTTCTCCCGAGCGAGGCAAGCTCCTTGATCATGCAACTACAACATATGCCCGGTTATCGAGTGGTCGGCGATTGGGACCAGGAAAAAAACGCTCTATCAAGCAGCATGCCGGCTGGATTTTCTGGGGTCGGTTTCATTGCGTTACTGCATGCTCGGAAGTGCCTTTGCTTGCATCAAGCGCAACATATGTCTGAATACTTATCTTCTTGGCCACCGTGTTCTTCTCGTACAGCTTCTGCTCAGCCATTTTCAGTGATATCCTCTTGTCAATCTTACAGTGAGGCAAAACTATCGCGCTCATGCATCTTGAGGGAATATCCCAATATATCTGCACTCTGGTCTTTAGCATCCACAACAATATTGTGAAAAAAGGGCCTCAAATTGTCTCTAGCACCTGAATGTTGTGAAAGAAGGGCTTCGGCAAGTAATGGCTCGAAGTTAGTTTCCTCATTGCCAGGTAATTTAGTTAGAGCAATACACTACTCCCCCTACTAGGAGGAAGAGGTAGAATGTTGGAAGTGTTTTGATGTGAATAAAACTCATAGATCTTTTTGATGGCTGCATGCGTTATATTTGAGACTCTCCATGACGGGTCTGCATGGTGAAGCAAAAATGATGTCAAAACAAGGAAAATGTAAGAACTGAATAAGCAAAGAACTTCTGTGTGTATGTTGCCTGCTGTTATATGTAGTAGAATCGAAGATGAACCCTGTTGAAGAATGCGGCCGTCCATCACTTGAACGTAAAAAAAAGTTTGCGCCAGTGATGCTTTTCACCTGAAATGGGCCGCTCCAAGCTGGTGCAAGCTTTGGTCGATGAGAGGTTTTTGATATTGTAAAGCCAGACGAGATTCCCTGGCTGAAAAGCTGAGCCATGTCACCATGGAAATGTTTTATCACTTATTCAGCCCCTGGCGCTACCAACATCAGCTAACTCCATGCCGTCGTTCTTAACATACCATCGAACCTCTTGCATGAAAAAGATAAACTCAATGTTTTATATTATCAAGTTGTAAAACTAGCTATGGCAAATTGTTCAACTATAAGGGTCATTGCAATTGGCTTTTGAGTAATTCATTTTAAAATTTAGATTTATATTTTATATTTATTTTACCAAGACTAGAGTGAACATGGATAGGCATATGGGGTAAAATGTCCAAAAGCCAGCTCTTTAGTTTGGAGAGAATGCACGTTCTTCTAGATTCAAAACATTCAATAATTTATTTGCCAAGAGTTAGTATCATTGCAGTGGTTGCTATTCAACAAATTATGGAGGATAGTTTTCAGGCTGAGAACTCAGTCTCCAAGAGCTTTTAATGAAGCTATGGTTACAAGCTCTACTCTGTCAACAATATCCAAAGAAGGCTTTCATGGAGGGATATATAACCTCCCTTCCAACATTAATGGCTACAGATATTGCTATGATGAGTTCAACAATCCACCAAGTGATGGCTTATGTGTTAAATGCAAATATGAAACTGCAAAACTAGATATGAAGGTCTAGCATATGTTCTTGGATAATCTTCTGTGACAAATAGCTTAACAATAGCCAGAAGGAGTTCCAATGCCAGTAGTTCAACAAAAAGATTGGAAAACTTGTGTTTTAGGAAGTGTTTTGATTATGAGAGCTAGCATAATTGGGAGGTATATAAAGCCTAAAAAGTAAGCCATTGAACATATAAAGTCTGCTGATAGAAGAGTAATCAAGGCTACATATCTATTGTTTGTTTATGACTAAAGGCCTTTTGAATGCTTGATATGGAGGTAATTGACATTTTACAGTAGTTAGGTGTATAGAACAACTTTACAATTCATTAGAGTTTAAAGATAAAAAGAAATGACCCAAAAATAAAAGTGCACTATTTCTTATTTGTTTAAGCAAATTTGTAAGTGGATATATATAAAATATTCTTGAATATTTAAAATTTTAAATCTAGTAACACCATCATGTTCAAGACAATCTCTACATTCATTGCAAAATCCATGAATCCATTCTCACTGCTAGCTATAATGATGGTCTCTCTTTGAGTCAATACTGTGGACCCCGAAGGATCTCACCTTCCCTTGCAAACGCACCACCCTCAAGCAATCAGCTAACACGAACAATGGGCCTCAACTCGCTGGTCCTTTCCATCGTGAGGCTCGACTTAGCAAAGGGTGGCTTGATCCCGCCTCACACCCATCCCCATGCATCCGAGATGAGTCCTGAGGTACGCTGGGTTTGTCACCACGGACAACAAGCTCTTCGCTCGGGTGATCTCCAGAGACGACGTGATGATTTTTCCCGGGAATTGATCCACTGGCAGCTCACACCGCCACTGGGATCGTCTCAACTCGCATTTCCCTGGCTTCCAGCTGATTGCCAGCTCCATGTTTGGATCCAATATCCTGGACGAGGTGTTGATCAAGACCTTCATCAACGAGAAGGCCGTGCAGCAGCTCACCCTCTGGCTAGGAAACAAAACCGTAGTGTCGAAGTTTGTCATACGAGATTTTTTCCAAGTTTTTTTCCAAGTGTGCTGTGCTTGAAGAGCTCACTTGGTTCCTTTGTATCACCTCCATTCTCTTGGAAACTCTTGTTTTCTTCGCGATCAAAACAGTACCATGGCGCTTGCCACCCTTCATCCTCGAGCACCTTGCCAGGCTCGAAAGTCATGACATACTCTTCCCTCCCTGGAAGATTTTCATTCTTAGTTCTTAATAGAGCGAGAAGGAAGAGACTATACCTGTGTAGAAGATCCAATACACAGGCCTCTTTGTCTCCACATCCTCGTAGTAGAAGATGAAATCATCGGCCTTGGACCAGACATTGCAAGTGAATCCTCCCACTTCCCTCACGCCAATGTAGGTGGAATTGCCCACCAGCCAATCCGGTGGCAAAATCCCCACTGGAACATGAACAGTCCTGCAACTGCCGGCGTCGAGATCGTAGAAGAAGGACGTGCCGTTTGTCCACTCGAGATCGTAAAGCGTGGATCCCAGCTGCGAGTGGATGATGTTGAAGTTCCTGCCATTAGGGAAATCATACCAGAGGTCGACCGTGGAGAGCTTGCCGCTCGCATTTTGGAGGAGCAGCGCGTGGAATTGCTCCGGCCACGGCGTTGGAGTGGGGCTTCCAAATCCGGCGCCGCAGAAGCCGAGAAGAATTGCTGCGAGGGCGAGCTTAGCCGCATTGCCATGCGACGCCATAGCCAAAAATATCCCCGCGTACCTTTGGAAAATTTCCATATGTTTACATCCAGAGAAAGGAAATAAACGTTACTGCCACTTTGTCAAACCATTTCGCTACTCTTTGCAGCTCCACTCCTGATACCGGTGCAAGCTCCCTGGAAAATCCGTGAAGAGTCCTCGACTTGAACAGTCTTGATCCAGTATCCGAATTCCTCGTATGGATCCTCATGAAAATTAAAATGTAGGAACTGGTTCTCGTTCCTAAACGTGTAGGGATGAACCTTAAGAACAGAGAAAATCGAGGGTAGCGAAAGGTAAGAAAATTTGGAGCGGACAAACCTGGAGATGCCGAGAGTGAGATTTTGAAACCAGGTGCGTCGCGTTCATCAAATAACCAGTGGTGGTGTTTGGAGGCACTATCGTATCCTTCCAATGCCAACAACATAGTTGCTGATGAAATCCAAGTATCGGTTTGATGTTATCTCTGTCACAATTGAAGCTTTTCAGCATACAATCGACTTGGATACCTGGTTTGTGACCTGCGTAAGAACCGTGTAATTGTCGATCAGTAAGATCTTTGGAGAGTCTGTTATGTTCGAGATGTACATAAGCGACGTTGGAGCAAAGCTTTGTATAAAGATTGGCTGCTTGTTCCACTCGTCCGACTTATATTTTCTTTGTAGTCATACTCCTGTAGCATTTCCATGAAAGAATCTTCTACTCTCTTGCCTTGAGAAATTTAAAGTAATCCATCGCATTTAGTCAACATTTAGGGTTTAGGGTTATTCCTTGCTTCTTGTCAAGCTGCGAATTTCATCGATGAGTCTTTATCACGATGCAATTGCACTGTGCGTATCAAAATCCCCACTCTGGAAGCTCACAATCCTTGGAAATCGTTTCTTTGCGTTCTAGGTGACTGAATCCTAGACTTACCTTTATGTCCTTTATAGTTACTCTAAGCTCTCATCAAACATTTTCCTCTTTTCCTCTGATAGTCAAGGCCTTTTTGTCCATCTTTTAAGTCGTGTCCGGGGAATGAGTGATACTGTTGTTGAACAAGCTCAGCATCGACGTGAGGAAGTCATCCGAGTCTCGAAGCTTGAGCGTCGCCAACCATGGTGGAATGGGCCAGGAAAGGCAGCATGGAAGTTGCGAGTGAAGGCGTCAGGGATCTGGCCAGCGAGAGAGTTCGCGTAAACAAGGTTGAATAGCAGTCCAAGGAACACTGCCTCTGAGCTTGTTAGACAATCCTCCAAGTTGGACAGGCCACCAATGGAAGATGGAATTGCTGCCTTCGAGCAGCTAGAGCCGAGAGAACTTCGTGACCATGCTTGGAATTTCCCCTACCAAAAGACCAGGCACAAGAGATCTTCATGGAGAGTTACCAAAAGCATTTGAGCGTGATCCAGCCTCGGCGACTGTTTCTCGTGAAGAATCCCAACTTGGACTCACGGAATATTCTATCAAACGAATGATATTAATACAATTTATCATTTGATCTTAACATTTTCAAAGAAAAATTCCCATTTGCAACTTATCACATTAAATTAAAAAATACTATATTAAACAACATTAGCCCCTCAATTAAAAATTAAAATATTATATTTTATAAATATCCATCATCATACTAATTTGCAATAATCAAGGAAAATTTTTAGGTTCGTAGAAAACACAAGTTTCATCAATAGTGTCATACACCACAACATGACCAGTATTTTCTACACATAAAGCCATAGCTTTAAATTTAATTTTCCAATATATATCATATGTCCATAGTATTTCATGATTTTCATTGTATATCACAAGATTTCCATCAATTTGAATTCTTAAATAGCAACAATTTCCGTTTAAAATTATTTTCCAGAATATAATCTTACCTTTATAAAGCACAAGGTTGCAATTCATGTGCAATAATAATATAAATTGATGATTAGTTGATTCTAAATAGTCTCCACTTTGTAGATTTGAGAAATATGAAGAATCATCAATACTTCTAATACATGAACGTCTCCATGTACAATCTAAACAGTTTGGGCTTTTCATAATATTTTTGGTATGATATAAAGTATTGTTACTATTATCCTTATTGTGTAAAGAGTAACTTTGCTCATTATTATCAATTTTAAAGATTAAACTAAAAGTTTTTGTAATATATTCATTGACAGCAAAATTGGTGATCTCATTATCATTTCTAATAGCAACACTTTCTAAATATTGAAGATTTCGTTGTACTGTCTCACCAGAAAAAAAAGATTCATAATCTGGAAAAATACTACAAAGTAAATCATAAAATGGTGGGGGTTTTGTTGATGTAAAGCAGTTATTATAATTTTAATTCCATTATAAGTATAGATAACTGAACTTCCAGCAAAGAATTTGGCTGTAGGATGAATCTGACTAATCACTATGGGTATTGCTTTTAAAATAGCATCTTTAAGTTGTGGAGAGAAATGTTGAGGGTTACTTCTTAAAACTTTTACTGCTAGATGTTTTCCAAATAAACTAACTAATACAAGAGAGAAAATCATTCTATAGCAAGCCATATAAAAAACAAGGGTAGATGTGATTGTTCATATGTTTGTTTTTGGAGTCTTATATGTGTAACATATTGAGTAAATCAACAAATGTATGGCAAATACAGCCACAATGCAAAATGATGTCTTTAATCTACATATGGCAAAAGAAAAATGATATACAATTTGAACATAGTTTTGCTTTTTTCATATTATATATTATAAGCCTTTGCATACCATTCCAAATCTTAGATCCATAAGGGTGGAAATGCTATAGGCCAAAAAATATTCCAATGTAACTACTAATCTATTTCTTTTCTAAAGTAATGCACTTCATCTCTTCTGAACAATTAAGTTTTTGGATATATAGTTAAAGTTGGATCCATCAACATAAATAGTTACATAATTTTGGGGAGGTTGTCTTTTGCATTTGTCATCACACAGAAAAGGCTAACACAATTTGTTCATTGGAATGATTTATTTGTTAGTTGATATTATTAATTCTTATTTAGTTTCTTTCAGCACTGATCCACATCTAGCTGAAGGGTCTGCTCTTGGGAAAAGTGGAATTGACGCCTCCTTAAAGGTTGGTGATCCAGCTCCATCAAAGTGGAAAAGAAAAGGAACAAATGGTGGAAGAAAGAAGAAGAAAAAATAAAGAAAGGAATGAAAGAATGAAAGAAATCATCAAAAAGTAGAAGTCTTGCCTACTCAAATGCATTAAATCTCCAATTTTTGGTGAATGCTCCTTGAGATGGAAGAATCTTGGTCTAACTCCAAAGGTTGGCTAGACCTACAAAATTCCTATTAATTCCTCTTGGTGACCATCAAAGATGATTGCATTGAAGATTGTTGTTTCCTAGGAGAAAGAGGACTCTTGGTTGATGATTTTAGGTGTTTCGATACAAGGAAAGACCTCTATTTCTCTATTATTGATTTGGTGGCCTTATGAAGTGGTGAGGGATATGAAGAATATCTTAAATTTCCCCACCACTTGAAAGATTCGAAGCCTAAAGGATGAAGGAATCTGCTCAGATATATGGTCTTCTTTGTTGACTGGAAGTAGCTGGTGGAGACAATGTCAATCATATCTTGTGCTACATAGCTTTTTGATGAAAATTTAAGGGATTCACTACCCCTAAAGTCAAAGATACCATTGCACTATTGGCTGATGCAAAAACCTTTTGTGTTGTTATACATCACCAGCAGCATTCAAAAGCACCAATCACCACTGGTGAAAACCAGCTAGACTAAAAAGTAGTTCATAGACATTCATGACACATATTTGGGTTGTTGAACCTGAGATGTTGGTGTAAGAAGAAGCAAAGAATATTGTAGTCCTAGCTCACTTCACTAGCCAAAACTTTCTCTCAAACCTTTGAAGTTGTATCCACTACTTTGTATGCTTTTTTGCTAATGTTTACCTTTTAGAAATTGTTCTAGAGGCCATGTACTTTACCATGGTACTTTGTGTTTGTGGTGACTCCTCACAGCTTTAAGCCAATTCCTCCATATTGGTTAGCATATCTTGATAAGCCCTTCATGCTTGTCATTGTTGTGTAATGAGTTAAAGTGTTGTTGTCCTACTGTTGCGAATGTGACTTCGGGTATCGAAAGTTACATGTCGGCTAGTCCTTACGGACACTCTTACCTTACTGCCGCGACGGCAGGAGGTCGGTATTGCTGGACCTGTTATCAATTTCCCATTTGAGCTAGTTGAGAAACTAGTCAATGACCGTGTACTTAGATCGGATAAATATAAGGTAGGAACCCTATATGTTTCTTGCTGAGCATACTCGGCCTGGTTTGAGAAACTCCTGTCATTGGCTTGCACTTGCTAGTACCAAGAACCCCCGCGATATTGAGATTGGTCCCTCAATATCGCTAGATGATAGCTTACCGTGTCTGCCAAACACCCTTATTGTCATGCCCTTTGTGTTGGTCTCATTTCGGTCCCAAATGCTATTTATGGAAAGTGTCTAGATTTGCTCATTTGGAATATCTACAGAATGTAGAGATCGTCCTGAACACAATGGTGTTCGTCCTGTGTCCAAATTCGCAATCTAGGGACATTCCATATTTAATAAGTTTCAAGCTTGTCCCAGAGACTAACTTCTGATACTAAGGGAGGCTTGGGGTGAAAAGCCCAAAGCGTGTGTTCCTCAGGGGGGGGGGGCTGTGGGGGGTTCCAAATGTATAATAGGGATAGTGGGTAGGTCGGGCATGGCCGACCAACCTGAGGCATAGTCTAGCTCCCGCTTGCGTGCTTGTCCTTGTTCTGCGTCCGGCTTGGGTCTAAGCCCAAGTTCCATTCCATGCTAGCTGGTGGAATACCTATATCCTCACATTAGGCTACCGGTATGCCGAAATAGCACCAAATTCCATTTGGCTCCGTTTTGCGTGCTGGTCTTGGCATTGGGATGCTGGTTGCTCCAAGACTGTTCCAAGTCGCTCCGGGCCCCTGTCCCTTCGCTCCTTAGGCTGTATGCTCGGGAGTTGCTCCGTGGTCCAATTTCATCACTCCTTGGCTCCACGCTTGGGAGTTT